TCTCAGGATTGACGACACCCTCGATAGACTACGATATGCGAAGTTTTTTTCTCACGTATACCTTAAAAGTGCAGATACTGGTACTGGCAGATAGAAATGGACGAATGAGATTGTTAGAAAACTGCATTCGTGACACTGGAAGGGCTATACGAATTTAAGGTAGTTCTATTTAGTCTTTGTTACACTCCCGCAACGTTTAAGCGGGTGATGAAAAGCGTGCTCTCCGGACTGAAGTAGCAGTGTTGCCTCGTTTATCATCACAATGTTGTGGTTTTTTCGGCTACCTTCGAACAGCATGTCGAACGACTGCTATCTGTGCTTGAAGCTCTTAGTTTTGCGAAGCTGACCATAAAGCCACAGAGATGCCCCTTGCGCTTTCAAGAGTTCTTTTTTCTTGGAGATGACAGTGTAGAGAACATTCGCCCACACCCTGAGACAACCGCAGCAGTACACAATTTTCCGAAACCAATGAACAAAAAAGGTGCTAAGACGGTTCCTGGGATTTTTCACGCGCGGTTGAAAAAGTTGGCTTAAATACAATGGCTAAAATGGACGAACTTGTGCCCTGCAAACAAACAAGTTAGCGAAAACTGTTTATGTCAAGAGCACCTCGGCTTCTCCCTAACTCGGCACCTCGTCTTTTCATCTAACCGTGCCCAGTTCGCACGTGCCTGAGTCGTCAGCGTCGATCCTGACAGTCTTCACTGGAGCTTGTTACGCCTGAGAGTCCACACCGAACGTCAATGCCTCTGTGAAGGCAATCTATGTCAGGGCCAGCGATCGAGCCCACCTGACGCGATCAAGTCAGCGACGTCATCAAGCGGCGGCGCCGGTCTGTCACGCAACGCACATCAAGCTCCCTAACCCCACGAGCCCGATGAAGCAATCGGCGCCTTCCAGTCTGGCGCATCTTACGGAATGCGTGGCAACATCCCTCGTCCTTGGTCGCAACCACATGCAGCGGCGGATCCCCATTTGAGGATTCTGACATCACGGCCAGCGGCGCTTCTGGTTCGACGTTGCTGACGCAAAGATCCACCCGGTGCCTATGAAAAAAGCCAAGCGGCGTGTCGCCAGCAGTTGACCTATGCGGCAGAGAGAAGCCGACAGATGAGTGCGAGAGTAGACACCTCGGCTCCTCGAGTCTCTAAGCTGTCGGCCCCAGTGCCGAATTTGCACGCCTCCATTTCTATGCGGTACATAAACCTTGCCTTAACTCACCGTCGTCTCGTCCGCTCCTCTGTCAGCTCTGCGCAAAAGCAGTCGCGAGCTGAGGGACACACGCTACCAAACGGCTGGTAACCTTGGCGGCGGAGTTCGGAGCAGTGGCGCCTTCGGGACCGTGCGTGCGTCGCGGCTTCGTAACACGCTTCGCTTGCTCTATTTTGCACGCACACCACACGCAACATTGAGGGCATAACAAACGACTGGCGTGTGAACTTTAAATGTTTCGTGTGTCAATATATATATATATATATATATATATATATATATATATATATATATATATATATATATAGGGACGCAATCCGCGTTTTAATTGATTATATGAAATATTTTACTGCAATCGAACATCAACAGAACCTTTTCTCGTTGTGTGCAAAGGAAGATGACCTGAAACAAAAAATGTACTTTTCAAGTTTAATATTCCTCCTGAATTTCTTGTGGCGAATTCCTTCTCTAGGTTATTTCATTTAAGATGTAGCCCTACGTTTTGTCAGAGTCCTTTATTACCCTTCATTGAAAACTCTGGATTTGTTTATGTGTTTCTCCTTTTCTGAGCAACTTGTCCGTTACATCATGATTCTTGCCCTTGACTGCATTGTTGCGACAATCAAGAGCAGTATAAATGAACCCAGCGCTTCAGAATAATATTTAGGCAAGGAAGTATCATTTAAACTTTAAGAGAAGTGCTACCAGAATTAGTATCCAGGGAACAAATACTACTCTTTTTAAAGAAACTGTAGTTTCTTATGACGCAACGCCGTGTAATATATATCTTAGCAAACATGATCACCACATTTATTGAATGTTATATAGGAATTTTTTCTGGCGTGTTTTAGTCGGAGGCTGGTTTTCGTTTTAGCATTCATCATGTCCCAGAATATTCTCTTATATAGACTCCATGAAGTATTGAATTTCCTTATTTATGATAATAATTAATGTACTTTTCTTTACCACTACCTTCATGAGAGCTTCAACATGCATTGCATGCGGAGACTTCTCATTAGTACTTTAGGTGATTGTGATTGCCTTGGCACGGTACCTCGTAAAGAAGAACAATAAGGTTCTCGGAGAACATGAAACAAGTTTTTAGCCTGTATTTGTTTTCTAATTTGATGATAACCAAACAATCCACTTTTTGATGACAGCGACTGCAAATAAAGTTGACTGTGTTAAATATTTGTAAAAATTTTCCCGTAGGTGAGCATCGGCGTTAATTGTGGTCTTGCTTACATCATAAATAAAGATGCTCTTAGATATCTGAATAGTTCATAAAACGTAACCAGCAAGTCCATGAACTAGTACTGATGAGTGAAACAAGTGCGATATCTAAAATTCTTTATAAGACCACAAACACGTACTACACACAGTCTCCTGCGTAAGTGTAATGTATTGTCTGAAATTTTCGCTAAACCACAATGAAAGAGTTGAACAGTTAAACATTACCTTTTGTACCATAAAGATTGGCAGATACCACGTAACTTGGTTATAAATGTTATGCGAAGCATGCGGAGGGAATGTGACCGTGTTGGAAATTTTGTATTGAGCGACGTACACGTTATGAAATGCCGATAAAAAAATATGTACAAATATTGCACGTGCCGGCGTCGGTTGAACAGCTGCAAATCTTTATACAACCAGTTCTTCGCACTTGCGCAACGATGCTAACAGGAACACGAGAAGCGCTGGGGCTTGCGTGCATAACAACCCTGGACACTGCTACATAAATCCACTTCGGCGAACGGCACTTAGCTACAAACTAGGTTAACGAGACGGAACGGCTGTATAATAGGATCGATTTGATATGTGGGGTTCAACTTCGCAAAACCACCATATGAATATGAGAGACGCCGTAGTGGAGGGCTCTGAAGTTTCGACCACCTGGGGTTCTTTAACGTGCACCCAAATCTGAGCACACGGGCTTACAACATTTCCGCCTCCATCGGAATTGTAGCCACCGCAGCCGGGATACGAACCCGCGAACTACGGGTCAGCAGTCGAGTACCTTAGCTACTAGGTCACCGCGGCGGGGCAGGCTGTATTATAGGAGTACACTTGTAATGCTTCCAAAACTGGATAGCATGCACTGCAACAACAATTGTAGTTTCCAAATATCGGGGCGTATTTGAGAAGTTCCAAGATTTGGCGTAGTTCTATGGTAGAATACTTTATTTCTGCCGATATCTGATTTTTAGTAACGCTCATGTGTTATTAGTAACGACGTGTGTTCTCGCCGTTCCTCGGTAGATACTAAGTGTCAATAACCTGTGGCACATACCCGCATACCAGCAGCACGTACCCGCACACGGGTATATGGCACTCTCTGGCGAAAAGTGGTTGACAATGTACGTGACGTGATTGTGTGAGCTGATGACCTGCCGCTGATATTTGTCCAGCCATCATCCTCACATACTAATTTTGGCTCACGGCAAGTTAAGAGGGTGATCACGAGAACACCCAGAAGTAAGCGGGCGGACAGACGGATAGATAGATAGATAAATAGATAGATAGATAGATAGATAGATAGATAGATAGATAGATAGATAGATAGATAGATAGATAGATAGATAGATAGATAGATAGATAGATAGATAGATAGATAGATAGATAGATAGATAGATAGATAGATAGATAGATAGATAGATAGATAGATAGATAGATAGGTGACAAATGTGCTTGCATTACGCACAGAAATGTTTCGCATATACGATTCACATACAGTGATGCAGATGTGGAGGAGGAGGAGGAGGAATAAATGAGAAAGGACAGGGAGGTTAGCCAGTTCTCAGACCGGCTGGCTACCCTGTAGTTTGCACAATGTCAATACGCTTCCTTTTGTACAGGGCTACAAATTTTGAGCTACCGTGCTTTAATTAGTCTTTGCAGTTTGATCAATTCTCTACATTCTCTAGAAAATTTCCAGGCTCTGCTTTAACTTTCTGTTTTATGCTCACTGCAAGTTCACCTCTTCTTGTACGCAAATTGATGTTATGGAAGTCATTGCATTTGGGCAAGAAGTTCATTTTTGTATTTTCCAGGCATTGGTATGGGCGAATCAATATTACCTTTCCGTCTACTGTTCCAATGACACAGAAATAACTGCTCTAAATTCACATTGCTTCATGGGAACACCATATCACATGACAAAAATGAATTGATTGACAGCATTGTCGTCAAGATAAATAAATTTCATAGCATGTGGCTCACCGCTTCAGTCGTAAAAGCAATGCGAAAGAGGTTTACTTATTATGAATGAAATTTATTTCAGCGTGCGCAAGAGCTGCCTTTTGCACCATATTTATCACAATAGCATTCCACGTATAACATGAATGACCTTATTGCGGTAGTATCTGATCAACAAAATACTCAAGTGTGTAAAAATACAGCATTTACTCAAAAGGTATGTTAGGTGTTGCTCGAACAGAAGAGCAAGACACTTGTTATGTGCACGTGCTCTTTGATTTGCCTCTCAGATTTGTCTCCAGCGTAGTTCATCAGCGATTCCGGTGCCTTAAGTATTCTTGTAGTTGCACATGCACAGGTTAGAATTTTTTAAGTAATTACCACAATAACTCAGACTCATGTTACATTCTGGTCAACGAGCTCAGATGTTGAGGGAATATTTTTATCTTATAAGACACAGCACGACGTTTATTGTAATTTTTAGGCATTCTCATAAACAGCAAACTCTTTGCAGTGACTCATGACACTGTCACTATTGGTGATTTTGAAACAGATACTACAGTGATCTTTTTGTTTGTTTTTTCGCTTTGCAGGTGCTGCCCCATAATGAGTACTGCGCCGTCATTTTCACCCATACTATGAATTTCGTTAGTCGGTGGATTTTTGGTCATATAGGTTTTGATAGAGTAAACACGTTATGTAGTATTTATTTTAATGCTATTTTTTTCAGCGAGTCACGAAAAGTGAGTAATGGCACCGAGGAAACAGAACAAGGTACGTCATACTATGTGTATTTTATTCATAGGCTCTAAAGCAGGTGTCCGTAACTTTTTGTGCCCGAAGACCGCGTTGCATGAAAGTTGTATGGCGGTACAGTTGTCTCAAATAATTAGTCACGCAATCACTTAACCACACAAGCAATGAGCATCACAGCAATACGGTGTTTTCAGGCACATGCCATTATAAGTACATAAGCTTAATCGGTGCCACTTTTTCTGTGCAGACGAATTTCTACGAGATGCTCTGACCACGATTTGTCGTGCTGTGGAATCATGGGTTGAAAATAACACGGCACTGGAACCAATGGAGTTGCAGCGACGTCTTGAGAAGCTAGTTGATGACACGTTGGAACGAAACAAGGCATTCGCTGCTATTGGGAATGAAGAAGAAGAAGATGATGACTCCGTAATTGAATACGGACTTGGCAAGAAACTGAAGAAGTGGAGGAAGAAGGCAAAGAAAGCGCTGATCGATGCTGCAAAAGCGGTCGCTATCCAGAAGGCAGTCGGTGCTGCAGCTGCTGCTGTAGGATGAAACATATCAAGACATCATAACATCTGAAAAAACAAGGCGTTGATGCTCTCGATGGTGTTTTATTTTGCCAGCAAAGGCTCCAAGCAAAAGATGCGTTCCACTATAAACAGTTACGTTTGAGTCGTATGGTTTTGTTTTCTTCTGAAAGGTGTGCGATATATTGTGTACCAAGCTGCACTTAGCCAGATGGTAATGATCTGCCAATCGGCAAACAAAAATGTAGAGCTCACTCAGACTAACTCAAGAAACCTATTTTGCGTCTTGGGCTCACTCGGACTCAACTCACCAAAATTTTCCTCAATGAACTCATTTCAGCTAAAACTGACTGATAGGCTACTGCAGACACGCGTATTCGGAAAACTCGTATATGTGTGTTTACAAATGTTTAGGCAAGCGAAATTGTTGTTACGAACACCTAGTGCCGGTCTTTTGTCATTCTTTTCTCCGTCTTGATGATTACGATGCTACTGGTATACGTAGCAATTTTTTCCTCAGCCAGATTCAGACCTTGCTTCCCAAAAGATTACTCATCGTACCCACTCAGACTCGGACTCAGGGCTCAATATGAGTTAAAGTGAGTCTGATTTGTGCAATTCATGACCCAGTTAGTCAATATTTGATTCATGGACAATGGTGAAAATATGTTTAGCTGTGGTATCTTGAGTTATCGGTGCTGAATCACCTTTTGATCTTTGACCGTCACGTATGAGGTTTCATCGGTTCAATGAAATCTATCAGAGACATTATTATTATTTTTATTATTATTATTAATATTATTATTATTATTATTATTATTATTATTATTATTATTATTATTATTATTATTGTTATTATTATTATTATTATTATTATTATTATTATTATTATTATTATTATTATTATTATTATTATTATTATTATTATTATTATTATTATTATTATTATTATTATTATTATTATTATTATTATTATTATTATTATATTATTATTATTATTATTATTATTATTATTATTATTATTATTATATCGTTATGCATGAAGAGGACCAGGACGTATACGGCTGAAGGAGCCGTTTATTTTGGTCGCGATGAAAAGCGCCGGAGCGGCCAACAGGTTGATGATCGCAGCGTCACCGTCTTTTTCTCTTGCTCCAGCTTGGGATGACCAGCACGTTCACTCATCTACGTTTTCTTTCAAGGCATGCGCAACATTCCTCTCCTAGCAGACGAAACCCGCCGGGCGAGGTAATTGATTGGCCTTTGTGTGTACAACTTCTGTCGAACGACATAGGCTGCTTGAGTTTTAGTGGCTCTTCTACCACTTCTCGTGAGGCGAGCTATTGTGTACGTGACTTCCGTGATTTTGTTGAGAACAACAAACAGTCCGTCATAAGTGGCCAATAACTTTCGGCACAACCCGCGTCTTCGTGCCGGAGTCCAGAGCCACACTAAGTCGCCTAGATGGTAAGTTACAGGCCGGTGGCGGACGTCGTAGCGTGCCTCCAATTTTTCCTGTGATGCCAAAGTACGTAGACCAGCAATACGACGCACCTCTTCTGCAAGGCAGATTATTTCAGCGACTGAGAGGTTCTTGTGCGCCGAGAATGGCAAAACTGTGTCGAGTGTGTGCCGTGGCGGTCGTGCGTACATCAAGAAAAAAGGGCTATAGCCTGTTGTCTCGTGCTTAGCGGTGTTGAACGCGTACGTTATAAAAGGTAGCACGTCATCCCAGTTCTTGTGGTCGGATGCCGCATACACAGAGATCATGTTTACAATTGTGCGGTTGGTGCGCTCCGTGAGCCTATTTGTATGCGGATGGTATGGCGACGAGTGACGAAGGTGGGACTCACTCAATCGAAGCACCTCTTCTACTATATGTGCCGCGAATTGTTGTCCACGATCACTGATGATCACGTGAGATGGGCCACGTCGGAGGATAGCGTGCTCCAGCAGGAACACAGAGACGTCCCGGGCAGTTGCGGTTGGTATGGCCGCCGTCTCGCAGTAGCGCGTGAGGTATTCGACGCCTACAATTATCCAGCGATTTCCCTTAGCTGACTATGAAAAAGGACCCACGAGGTCAATGCCCACTTGTTGGAAAGGCTTGCTAGGAGGTGGCAAGGGCTGTAGAAGACAAGCCGGAGCAGTAGATGGGCGTTTGTAGCGTTGAAACTTTTTGCATCGACGGACTGTCACAGTCCCGGCCAACAAAAGCGTTTTTTAGCATGGTAGAGCATCCGCGAGGAACCTAATTGTCCGGACGTAGGATCGTCGTGCATAGCACTTAAAATCGCTGTCCGAAGGCTTTCCGGCACTACCAGGAGGAAACGTGCGCCAGGGCTGGAAAAGGTCTTTTTATACAGGAGTCCGCTGTGTACACAAAAACTTCATGCCGTAGGAGCTCTGCAGAGCGATAATAGCTTGGTGTCTTTTCGCTGTTCGTCTTTAAAAGTACTGAGGTCGGGAAACTTTGGTGACCTAGCAACTATGAGGTGGTCGAGGCCATCGGCGTCACAGTCTGTAGTGTTCAGTGGCGTACGCTACTGGCTATCTGCGTTGACGTGTCGTTGACCGCTTTTGTACGAAAATATGAAGTTATACTCCTAGAGCCGAAGTGCCCAGCGCACTAGACGGCCGCAAGTGTCCCAAAGGTTGACGAGCTAACACAATGGGTGGTGGTCGGTGATGACTGTAAAAGAGCGTCCATACAGGTAAGACGGTATAATTCTTCTCAAGCCTACTCAATTAGCGACTTGCGTATGTGATCATGTGCTCGCGGTTACCATAGCGTTGAACTAGGACGGCACCAATTCCTATGCCCCTGGCATCCGTGTGCAGCTCTGTTGGAGCTGATGGGTTGAAGTGTTGTAGAACAGGCCGCGACGTTACGAGGAACTTGAGTTGACGAAAAGAGGAGTCACACTGCGGAGACCACTCGAAGGGAATATTCTTCCGTAGCAAACGTGTCAGCGGATACGCGACATCGGCAAACTTAGGTATAAAGCGGCGAAAATCAGAGCAAAGCCCAAGAAAACTGCGGAGCTCCTTAACAGAGCGCGGCGCACTGAACGTTTCAACGGCTGCTGTCATCTGGGGATCTCGATGGATGCCATCCTGATTGACTAGGTGTCAGAGAACAAGGATTTGTTGGTCTCCGAAATGGCATTTATTTGAGTTAAGAACAAGGTCAGTATTTCTTATGCAAGTCAGTACAGTATTCATACGTGAATTGTGTTCGCTGAAGGTGCGGCCAAAGATGACGACGCCGTCAAGATAGCGCATGCAAATGCACCACTTCAAGCCACAAAGAAGTGCCCATAAATCGTTCGAACCTAGCCGGTGCGTTGCACAGTCCAAATTGCATCACATTGAATTCAAAAATGTCATCAGGGGTTAAAAATGCTGTCTTTTCTGTATCTTCAGGGTGCATGGGCATTTGCCAGTAGCCAGATCATAAGTCTAGAGAGGAAATTTAAGAGGCCAAATGTAGACGCTCGATGGCATCATCAACACGTTGAAGTGGGTTCACGTCTTTTTTTTCGTTAAAGGATTCAACCGGCGCTTGCCGACGCAAAATTTGCAGGATTCCTCTTTCTTTTTATTGAGAACCACTGGAGCTGCCCATGGACTCGCCGACTTTTGAATGACTCCATTTTGAATCAATTGGTTTACCTGCTCATTAATAATCCGCCGCGCAGGTGTCAAAACACGGTATGGCTTTTATCGAATCAGATTGGCCAAACACGTGTTGATGGTGTGACATGTCCAAGAAGTAGAGATTAAAGGCGCTTTGTCTTTCTGCGCTAAGTTGTATGCAGAGACGTGCTTTGAAAGTACATTCACCAATGTTCGGCGTTCCCTTGTGCTCATTGACTTATTAACCATTCACAGAAGAGCCATTTCCAAACTGGGACTACGATGTTCTTCCGGCGCATCTCTAAGCTCGGTCACCAATAAGTCCTCGTGCTGCCCACTGATGCCGGCTAACTTTAGGACATTTGGTAACATCACGGGCTCTGTGGAACTATTGCCAGTTCATAAACCAGCGCGTCCACGTGTGATCGACACCACACAATGTGGGATCAACGCATTCTTTTTCATGCAGTTGGTGTACGCTGGTTCTGCGTTGGCATCAAAGTTGGCGGAATTGCTGTTACTACTACTAACAGGTGCATGCACGGTTGATAACGGTGGTATGAAACTGTCACCACAGACACACAATGCCGTCTCACCATCCACAGGGGTTTCCAAGAGTGCTGGCGCAACGTGATCACTCAAGAATATCGTTCCTGCGCGGCACCTAAATAAAACCTTCCGTTCCAAGGTATCTGGGAAACACGCACTCAAGACAGAAATTTCCGCCCCCGTATCCACCAAAGCCATCACAGGCACTCACCTGAGTGCCTGTGAGGAGTTATTTCTGATATTAGGACATCTCCGGTGACTTCACCTCCATCAGCCGCGCTTGCTAGTTTTTCTGTGGAAAAGGAGACGTGTTGTGACGCCGCGGTGAAGGAGAACGGGGAACACGAGGTGGTATAGGCGTCAAGCTCTTGTCAGATGTAGTGGAGTGATTCGGGAGGTTGCTTGTCTAGTAGTTGTCGCGAGGAAGTAGGCGTGTTGTCCTCGAGTCAACGTGCGGTCGATCAGACGATCATGTAGAGTGTTCTGATGGGCCATAGTACGCTGCTCGCGGGTCGTCGCGAAGTCGTTCTGAAGGCAGTGCAAAGTGTGGTGTGTGGCCATACCATGGGGCTACACTTCGAGGGTTGCAAAATCGTGAAATATGTCCTGGGAGACCACAATAGTAGCAAACTGTGAGAGTTCGAGGTATTGTTTGTTCATCGAAAAATCGAAGATCGTCTTCCCTGGCGTTGTGGCTTGGTTCGTGCCGTATATCATAGGGACAGAGCGGGCGTCGCGAAGAAGGCGGATACTGAGGGCGCCGGTCAAGGTGAGGAGCTGGCAAGCGTTTTGTTCTTTTTGTCAGTGGGAGTGCGCTGTACTCAATAGCTGCTGCACTAACCATCGATTGCCAAGGGGTTGTAGAAGGCGGCGGCACAGTCACAGCCTCACGTGGCTTATATACCGAATGTTGGTCGCATTCAGAATGGTGATCGACAGCTTAGTGTCTCTGTTCTCCATA